GATTCAATATATATTCAAAACATTTAAAGTGGATTGTAACTGGATTACACAAGTTAGACGGATGAAACGCGATCAAAGCAAGAGGGAGAGATCCAACCAAGAGTGACCCATTAGGACAGAAAACGGATCAGTGTCACACCTCATTTAAGCTCAGAAGACTAGAAAGGGGCTATCTGCCCAGTTCAACTTGTACATTAAAAACTACCACAGTGATAAAAGTGAACCATAACGTATTTTCTCCTTTGTGAGAAATCACAAGATCAACTGAATTCAATGATTTTTTCATTTCCTTTCTGACTTTAGCTTGAGTTTATCCACCTTCAGTAGGTCTAATGTGTATTTATGTACACATCACTAGTGCTGATTTAACAGCCACTATACATTTCCATCTCTGAACTGACATCCACATTGTACCAGCACACCTGCTTGTGTGGCAAACCCAGGCAATAAGATTTCTTTTAAGCTATGTTTTCACACAGACTAGTTACGACATGGACACAAAAACATGGTGCAGAAACCAAGCAGAAGCCACTTGTTCACAGAAGAAAAGTTACACTGCAGCTACTGCATGCCTTCAGCTACGTCTGCTTTGCTTTTCACAATCCACCTCACACTCTCATGTCTTCTCCAAGGAGCTGTATAATAAGTGTTCTACCTCAGTAAAACACACTGAAGGACCATCACATCCATGTGACATACTAGGAATGCCATAGGATTATCCTGATGTTAACCTCCAGCATCTTTCCACTGAAAAACAACAGTCCTGCTCATTACAAGTAACACCCCAATTAAGCTACTGGTGGTTATTATTTAGTTATTGAGGAACAAGGTATGTATATACTTTTACCCAGCTGTTTTCAAAGCCCTCCAATGACTGTGATGCCTATGGAACCTCAACCTATTCCCAAACTTCACTTTCCTTATAGTTAACAAGCTTTTGGGAGCTTTTTCCTAGCCTGTCTATCTTCACCTGCTGCTGTTAACAGGATGGGAGAAGCCCACATAAAAAGCTGTAGTGCACTGAAAAGCAAACACAAAATGCTTACATCTAAAGACTTACCCTGAGGAGCAATTCAGCCAAAATACAGCCAACAGCCCACATATCCACACCAACCCCATACATCCTGGCCCCAAACAATAGCTCTGGGGCTCGGTACCATCTGGAAAGAAAACACATTTTGGGAAAATTGCTCATGTCAAAGGCTGTACATTGCAGCAATGCAAAAACTACAGAGGACAATGCTTCTGCCTATATGATTTTCAGACACTGAACAGCTGTAGTCTACCCTGAAAAGTGTTTTAAGAAAGGCTGAAAAACGTTGTGCATTCCTCACCACAGGGTCACATACAACCACAAATCAAGCTGCAGCTGCAACTGAGATCATGACAAGCAGTAGAACTGCAGACATGGAGAGGAGAAAAGAGTTTAAAAGGCAGGTTTGCATGTTACAAACCAAGATTTTAAGTGGAAGCAATGACAGAGAATTCCTCCCAGCTTCCAAAAATCTGCATGGCAGCAGACCTAAGTATACAGCCTAGTTCAATGCAAAGTGCACTTCCCAAAAGCGTTCAAGTATAATGTGATGTCCTGTACATGCTGCATTTTAAACTACAGTGGCATTTCTACCTTTTGAATAAAGGTGTTAAAACCAACCAGCCTTGCCTGAATAGTTTTACAGTAGTCAGAAGGGAACACAG